CGGGGGCGTCACGCTGCCCCGACAATGGTTCGAGTCCCAGACGAGTGGCAGCTTGCTTTCTCACTTCTCTCTCTCTCAATCTGTCCCTCTCTGGTCAAATTAAAACAAACAAATTCACAAATGAATGAAGTTAAATAAAATATTTTTTTGAGAGGCTTTTGCTATAGGGTGCTTGCACTCACCAGAAAGACCGAGAGAGATGGAGAGACAGAAAGCAAGAAATCACCCCTCAGGGGGGATGGCCACGCCACAATCCTTTCTCCTCCATTCTCCTCTTGGGATCTTGGGCACACACATACACCAACCGGCATGAGTTTAAGTGACCGGGTCCGGGACTCAAACCGTGGTTGACTACACGAGAGTCCAGCAATTTAGCCATTATGCCATCTGCTGGTTGCCAATAAAATAAGTCTTAAAATATATATATATATAGCTGCCCTGCCTATGGAGTAGCCCCTCTGTTTTGTTTTGGTGACAGTTCTCCCCTTCTTCTTGGAAGAAGCTGTGAAACTGTTTACTCATCTCTCACGTGGCTGCTTCACCTATGGAGTAGGGTAGTCCACTCTGGGTTTTTAGTTTTGCCATGGAACATATGCTCTTGCTGCAGAGAGAGAGAGAGAGAGAGAGAGCAGGAAAGAGAGAAATCTCCCCTCAGGAGAAATGGTCAGGCCTCTCTCCTCTCTCCTCTCTTCTCTTCTTGGGATTCCAGGCACCACACACACACATACCTGGCATGTTTTGCATCTACCATGTCTAGGACTTGAACTGTGAAGTTGGCCACATGGGATCCAGCTGCCTTAACCATCACGCCACTGGCTGGCCCTGGAGTATTATTCCACTCTAAACACTTTTCTTTTCTTAATAAACTTGCTTTCACTCTCCTTAAAAAAAAAAAAAAAAAAAGAAGAGAAAGAAGGGAATATACAAAAAAATACACAAGCCAATGAATGTTCACAAAGTGAACATATCCTTATGATAAGCGCTCAGATCAATTGAGAAACACTCAGATCAGGAAATACTTGTGGGGCTGGCAGGTGGTGTGTTGGTTAAGGGCGCTGGACTCCCACATGGCTGACTGTGGTTCAAATCTCAGAGCTAGTGGCTTGCTTTCTCGCTTTATCTCCCTCTCACTCTGCCCCTCTCTGGTCAAATTTAAAATAAAATAAAATAAAATAAAGTTAAATAAAATAATTAGTTTTTTAAAAAAATAAATACTTGTACTGGTTACATATTTTTTAGGTTTTGCCATAGAGCACATGTGCTTGCTGGAGAAAGAGGGAAAGTGAGAAATCACTCTGCTCCCCTCCATTCTCCTCTTGGGACTTCAGGCACACATGCACACACGCCTAGCATGATTTGCAAGCTGTTGGGTCCAGGATTTGATTTGGGGTCAGCCATGTGAGAGTCCAGGGCCTTCACCACCACAGTACCTGCCTGCCCCACTGGCTAACTTTTAAGGATAAAGCCAATAGGATATATGTGTACAGTAAGGAAAAAATGAGACATTGGGGCTGGCAGGTGGCGTGGTGGCTAAAGAAAAAAATAAGACTTCACAGAGCACTCCATGAGGTCCAGCTGTGGTAACGCAGGTGGCAGAGCATTACTGAGCAATACTGAAGCCATATGCAAGACTCAAGTTCAGGTCCCAGGTCAACCTGAACACACTGGGTACACCCATGATCCTGGTTGGCTTGGAGGCTGGAGGGAGGATCTTGGTCTGGTGAGACCCTATCTAGAGTCTTTCTTATTCCCTCATGAAAAAAAAAAAAAAAAAAAAAGGAAAAAAAAAAAAAAAAAAAAGGAAAAAGCGCAAAAAAAAAAAAAAAAAAAAAGAACCTCCATGGTTGTTTTGGCCCTAGCAACTGGAAGAAGTGCTCTTACTGAGATGGGGAAGATTGGGGAAGGAGTGAACTGGCAGGGGAAAATCCAGAGTTGACTATAGGGTATTTTTTTTTTAGAGGTGTTTTTGTTTTTGTTTTTACTATAGGGCATGTGCGTTCACCAGAAAGACAGACAGAGAGACAGAAAGTGAGAGATCACCACCCAGCGGGATGGCCATGTTGTAATCCCTTCTCCTCCATTCTCCTCTTGGGATCTTGGGCATGCACCCACACACGCTCAGTGTGAATTTAAGCCACTGTGTCTGGGTCTCGAACCATAGTCGACTACATGGGAGTCCAGCGACATAGCCATTATGCCAACTGCTGGTCCTGCTGTATGTTTGAGATGGTTACTAATGCCCAAGTAGAAACATCCACATGGGTCTAGAGTTCAGAGGCATATTCTGGGCTGGAAATACTAATAATCTACCTATAGGGTGATTCTTCCCTGACTGGGGTATATTAGATTTACCAGTATTCCTCAACTTACAGTGGTGTTATGTCCAAATAAACCCAGCTGCTAAGTCAACAAATATGTTTAGGCCGAGCAGGTGACATGGTGGTTAAGGCACTGGATCCCACGTTACCAAGTGCATGGTTCGAGTACTGGGCCAAGTAGCTTAAAAAACATGCTGGTCACCTGTGTGCATGTGCCCAAAATCCCAAGAGGAGAATGTAGGAGAAGGAATCATTGTATGGCTATCCCCCCTGGGATGGTGACTTCTCACTTTCCCTCTCTGATTTTCTCCCATGAGCACATGTGCCCTATAACAAAAAGAAAAGAAAAGACGTTTAGTTGAAAATGCATCTGAGGGCCAGCTGGTGGCATAGTGGTTAAGGCAACAAGATCCCACATGGCCGACTGCACAGCTGGAGTCCCAGACCGAGGAGCTTGATAAACACTCTGGGCACATGTCCATGCATGGTCAAAATTCTAAGAGGAGAGTGGAGAAGAGATTGCAGTGTGACCTCTGGAGAGGTGCGTTTTCACTTTCCCTCCCTCTCTCTGACTTTCTCCTATGAGTACATGCACCTTCTATCAATTTTTTTAAAAAAGAAAATGTATCTCAGGGGCCAGGAGGTGCTTTGTGGTTAGGGTGCTTTGTGGTTCAAGTTCTGGACCCAGTGGCTTGAGAATCACGCTGGGCATGTATACATTTGCGCCCCAAATCCTGACAAGTGGAGAAGGGACTGTGTCATGGCCATTCCCCCAACAGAGGTGATTTCTCACTTTCCCTCTCTCTTGCTCTGGTGAGTGCACACACACTACGGTAAACTGGGGGAAAAAAAATCATCTAATACCTCTAACCTATTGAACCTATCCTACCTTAAATGGGCTGAGAAAATTTACATTAAGCCTACAGCTGGGCAAAATCACCTAACACAAAGCTTACTTAATAATAAAGTGTTGAATAGCTCATGTAATCAGTTTTTTGTTTGTTTGTTTGTTTAAGAATTATTTTATTTGGGGGACCAGCAGTTAGCGTAATGGCTAGGTCGCTGGACTCCCACGTAGTCGACCGCGGTTCACGTCCCAGACCCGGTGGCTTAAACTTACGCTGGGCACGTGTGCTTGCGTGCCCAAGATCCTGGGAGAATGGAGGAGAAGGGATTGTGGTGTGGCCATACCCCCGGGGGGTGTTTCTCGCTTTCTGTCTCTTTGTCTCTCTCTGTCTGTCTGGCGAGCGCACGCGCCCTATAGCAAAAACCTCTCAAAAAAAAAAAAAAGAATTATTT